GACCCAAATATTGTTGAATATTCGGGTGGCCCATGTTCAAATACACCTACCAGAGCAACTTCAGCTTGGTTTGCGCGCACAGAAAAGTTCGGCGCCCGCGATGACGGCCGTGCCTCCCGACAAATGCTAAGGAAACGCATGGGTCCATATAGGCGTAGGGAAAAGCATCCAACGACCCGAATATTGTTGCATATTCGGGTGGCCCATGTTCAAATACACCAACCAGAGCAACTTCAGCTTGGTTCGCGCGCACAGAAAAGTTCGGCGCCCGCGATGACGGCCGTGCCGGCCGACAAATGCTAAGGAAACGCATGGGTCCATATAGGCGTAAGGGAAAGCATCCAACGACCCGAATATTGTTGCATATTCGGGTGGCCCACGTTCACATACACCTATCAGAGCAACTTCAGATTGGTTCGCGCGCACAGAAAAGTTCGGCGCCCGCGATGACGGCCGTGCCGGCCGACAAATGCTAAGGAAGCGCATGGATCCCTATAGGCGTAGGGAAAAGCATCCAACGACCCAAAAATTGTTGCATATTCGGGTGGCCCATGTTCAAATACACCTACCAGACCAACTTCAGCTTGGTTCGCGCGCACAGAAAAGTTCGGCGCCCGCGATGACGGCCGTGCCGGCCGACAAATGCTAAGGAAGCGCATGGATCCCTATAGGCGTAGGGAAAAGCATCCAACGACCCGAATATTGTTGCATATTCGGGTGGCCCATGTTCAAATACACCTACCAGACCAACTTCAGCTTGGTTCGCGCGCACAGAAAAGTTCGGCGCCCGCGATGACGGCCGTGCCGGCCGACAAATGCTAAGGAAGCGCATGGATCCCTATAGGCGTAGGGAAAAGCATCCAACGACCCGAATATTGTTGCATATTCGGGTGGCCCATGTTCAAATACACCTACCAGACCAACTTCAGCTTGGTTCGCGCGCACAGAAAAGTTCGGCGCCCGCGATGACGGCCGTGCCGGCCGACAAATGCTAAGGAAGCGCATGGATCCCTATAGGCGTAGGGAAAAGCATCCAACGACCCGAATATTGTTGCATATTTGGGTGGCCCATGTTCAAATACACCTACCAGAGCAACTTCAGCTTGATTCGCGCGCACAGAAAAGTTCGGCGCCCCAATGACGGCCGTGTCGCCCGACAAATGCTAAGGAAGCGCATGGATCCCTATAGGCGTAGGGAAAAGCATCCAACGACCCAAATATTGTTGCATATTCGGGTGGCTCATGTTCAAATACACCTTCCAGAGCAACTTCAGCTTGATTCGCGGGCACAAAAAGGTTCGGCGCCCGCGATGAAGGCCGTGCCTGCCCACAAATGCTAAGGAAGCGCATGGATCCCTATAGGCGTAGGGAAAAGCATCCAACGACCGTAATATTGTTGAAAATTCGGGTGGCCCATGTTCAAATACACCTACCAGAGCAACTTCAGCTTGGTTCGCGCGCACAGAAAAGTTCGGCGCCCGCGATGACGGCCGTGCCTGCCGAAAAATGCTAAGGAAGCGCATGAATCCATATAGGCGTAGGGAAAAGCATCCAACGACCCGAATATTGTTGCATATTCGGGTGGCCCATGTTCAAATGCACATATCAGAGCAACTTCAGCTTGATTCGCGCGCACAGAAAAGTACGGCGCCCGCGATGACGGCCTTGCCTGCCGACAAATGCTAAGAAAGCGTATGGATCCCTATAGGCGTAGGAAAAAGCATCGAACGACCCGATTGTTGTTGCATATTGAGGTGGCCCATGTTCAAATACACCTACCAGAGCAACTTCAGCTTGGTTCGCGCGCACAGAAAAGTTCGGCGCCCGCGATGACGGCCGTGCCTGCCGACAAATGCGAAGGAAGCGCATGGATCCCTATAGGCGTAGGGAAAAGCATCCAACGACCCAAATATTGTTGCATATTCGGGTGGCTCATGTTGAAATACACCTTTCCAGAGCAACTTCAGCTTGATTCGCGGGCACAAAAAAGTTCGGCGCCCGCGATGACGGCCGTGCCTGCCCACAAATGCTAAGGAAGCGCATGGATCCCTATAGGCGTAGGGAAAAGCATCCAACGACCCTAATATTGTTGAAAATTCGAGTGGCCCATGTTCAGATACACCTACCAGAGCAACTTCAGCTTGGTTCGCGCGCACAGAAAAGTTCGGCGCCCGCGATGACGGCCGTGCCTGCCGACAAATGCTAAGTAAGCGCATGAATCCATATAGGCGTAGGGAAAAGCATCCAACGACCCGAATATTGTTGCATATTCGGGTGGCCCATGTTCAAATACACCTATCAGAGCAACTTCAGCTTGGTTCGCACGCACAGAAAAGTTCGGCGCCCGCGATGACGGCCGTGCCTGCCAACAAATGCTAAGGAAGCGCATGGATCCCTATAGGCGTAGGGAAAAGCATCGAACGACCCGATTGTTGTTGCATATTGAGGTGGCCCATGTTCAAATACACCTACTAGAGCAACTTCAACTTTGTCAGAATGTTATTATCTAGCCTGTAGTGGGGTGCTCTATAGCGAGTACAACCCAGTTAGGGTTTGCTATATGTATCCCAACTGCTGCTAGTGAAATCCCTCCTTTCTTCATTTCTCGTTCTGCCTGCTATAGTTCTAACATGGTATCAGAGCAGGTCGACCCTCCTGGGTCGATCCAGTGGGTGGGCCCACCACCTCACTGCTTCCGCTGCTACTGCTACTCTGTGTGTTGCACGCCCCGTGGCGTGCGACGGATTTTTCATCCCGCCGCGCGCTCGGAGCGTGCGGCGGTTTTCTGCCCGCCGTGCGCCCCGAGGCGCGCGGCGGCTTTCTGCCCCGTCACTCCGCGCGTCGCCCCCGGGAGGCGCTGCGACGGGCGACGGGGACCCGCGCGTCGCCCCCCGTCGCCCGTCGTGGCCCGCGCGACCTGCGTAGGGCCCGCGCGCGGCCCGTACAGCCTGCGCGCGGCCCGTACGGGCTGCGCCAGGCCCGCGCGCGGCCCGTACCGGCTGCGCCAGGCCCGCGCGCGGCCCGTACGGGCTGCGCCAGGCCCACGCGCGGTTTGTACGGGCTGCGCCAGGCTCGTGGGCGCCCTGTTTCCTCTTCCCTTGAGCCGCCCGCTGTCCCCCCGCGCTTCTGACGGCGCCCCACCCCTGCTGCTGCCCGTGCTCCTGAATTAGGGTTTGGGGATGGAGCGTATGGGGGTGCCGTCTCTGTGAGCCGTCCCCTGCTCCTCCTCCTCCTCCGTCTCCCACTGCTGCAGCTGACGCTGATGGGGGTGGATGTGTTGGAGCCGTCGGAGTGGTACGAGGGGGTGACGTGCAAGTGGAGTTAGGGGTGAAGCAATGGGTGTGTGGGGGGTGTGTGGGACAGTTGGAGGAGGTTGAGTGGAGGCAGCTGTCGTGTCGTCCGCAGCGCCTGTATTCCGGGGTTCTAGTGGCCGCTGGTAGCTCAGAGAGCCTGCTGCACCTGTCGCCCGTGGGTCCGTTGCTCCTGCCGCTCTGATAGCCGCAGAGCCTGTTACTCCTGTAATCCGGGACACTTGTCGCCGGTAGCCACTGAGTCGCACTCAGCGCTCCTGTTGCCCGTGTGTCTGCAGCTTCAGTCGTCGCCTCCCGTCTTCTCTCCCCCACAGTCTCTCCTCCTCCTCACTTGCCCTCTGTGTTAGCCTCTAGCTTTGCTTATAATTGTGAACTACTGCTATGCCTGCTGATTGTGCTGATTACACCCCACTTTGGCTATGGGGGTGTGTCAGAATGTTATTATCTAGCCTGTAGTGGGGTGCTCTATAGCGAGTACAACCCAGTTAGGGTTTGCTATATGTATCCCAACTGCTGCTAGTGAAATCCCTCCTTTCTTCATTTCTCGTTCTGCCTGCTATAGTTCTAACAAGCTTGGTTCGCGCGCACAGAAAAGTTCGGCGCCCGCGATGACGGCCGTGCCTGCCGACAAATGCTAAGGAAGCGCATGGATCCCTATAGGCGTAAGGAAAAGCATCCAACGACCCGAATATTGTTGCATATTCGGGTGGCCCATGTTCAAATACACCTATCAGAGCAACTTCAGATTGGTTCGCGCGCACAGATTAGTTCGTTGCCCGAGATGACGGCCGTGCCGGTCGACAAATGCTAATGAAGCGCATGGATCCCTATAGGCGTAGGGAAAAGCATCCAACGACCCGAATATTGTTGCATATTCGGGTGGCCCATGTTCAAATGCACATATCAGAGCAACTTCAGCTTGATTCGCGCGCACAGAAAAGTACGGCGCCCGCGATGACAGCCGTGCCTGCCCACAAATGCTAAGGAAGCGCATGAATCCCTATAGGCGTAGGGAAAAGCATCGAACGACCCGATTGTTGTTGCATATTCAGGTGGCCCATGTTCAAATATACCTACCAGAGCAACTTCAGCTCGTTTCGCGCACACAGAAAAGTTCGGCGCCCGCGATGACGGCCGTGCCTGCCGACAAATGCTAAGGACGCGCATGGATCCCTATAGGTGTAGGGAAAGGCATCCAACGACCCGAATATTGTTGCATATTCGGGTGGGCCATGTTCAAATACATATATTAGAGCAACTTCAGCTTGGTTCGCGCGTACAGAAAAGTTCGTCGCCCACGATGACAGCCGTGCCGGCCGACAAATGCTAAGGAAGCGCATGGATCCCTATAGGCGTAGGGAAAAGCATCCAACGACCCGAAAATTGTTGCATATTCGGGTGGCTCATGTTCAAATACACCTTCCAGAGGAACTTCAGCTTGGTTCGCGCGCACAGAAAAGTTCGGCGCCCGCGATGACGGCCATGCCTGCCGACAAATGCGAAGGAAGCGCATGGATCCCTATAGGCGTAGGGAAAAGCATCCAACGGCCCGAATATTGTTGCATATTCGGGTGGCCCATGTTCAAATACACCTACCATAGCAACTTCAGCTTGGTTCGCGCGCTCAGAAAAGCTCGGCGCCTGCGATGACGGCCGTGCTTGCCCACAAATGCTAAGGAAAGGAAGCGCATGGGTGATGAGAGTAGGGAGAAGGGTGATGAGAGAAGGGAGAAGGGAGATGAGAGTAGGGAGAAGGGTGATGGGAGTAGGGAGAAGGGTGATGAGAGTCGGGAGAAGGGAGATGAGAGTAGGGAGAAGGGTGATGAGAGTAGGGAGAAGGTTGATGAGAGTAGAGAGAAGGGTGATGAGAGTAGGGAGAAGGGTGATGAGAGTAGGGAGAAGGGTGATGAGAGTAGGGTGATGAGAGTAGGGAGAAGGGTGATGAGAGTAGGGAGAAGGGTGATGAGAGTAGGGAGAAGGGAGATGAGAGTAGGGAGAAGGGTGATGAGAGTAGGGAGAAGGGTGATGAGAGTAGCGAGAAGGGTAATGAGAGTACGGAAAAGGGTGATGAGAGTAGGGAGAAGGGAGATGAGAGTAGGGAGAAGGGAGATGAGAGTAGGAAGAAAGGTGATGAGAGTAGGGAGAAGGGTGATGAGAGTAGAGAGAAGGGTGATGAGAGTAGGGAGAAGGGTGATGAGAGTAGGGAGAAGGGTGATGAGAGTAGGGAGAAGGGTGATGAGAGTAGGGAGAAGGGAGATGAGAGTAGGGAGAAGGGTGATGAGAGTAGGGAGAAGGTTGATGAGAGTAGGGAGAAGGGAGATGAGAGTAGGGAGAAGGGTGATGAGAGTAGGGAGAAGGGAGATGAGAGTAGGGAGAAGGGTGATGAGATTAGGGAGAAGGGTGATGAGAGTAGCGAGAAGGGTAATGAGAGTAGGGAGAAGGGTGATGAGAGTAGGGAGAAGGGAGATGAGAGTAGGGAGAAGGGAGATGAGAGTAGGAAGAAAGGTGATGAGAGTAGGGAGAAGGGTGATGAGAGTAGGGAGAAGGGTGATGAGAGAAGGGAGAAGGGAGATGAGATTAGGGAGAAGGGTGATGAGAGTAGCGGTAAGGGTGATGAAAGTAGGGAGAAGGGTGATGAGAGTAGGGAGAAGGGTGATGAGAGTCGGGAGAAGGGTGATGAGAGTAGGGTGATGTTAGTAGGGAGAAGGGTGATGAGAGTAGGGAGAAGGGTGATGAGAGTAGGGAGAAGGGAGATGAGAGTAGGGAGAAGGGTGATGAGAGTAGGGAGAAGGGTGATGATAGTAGGGAGAAGGGTGATGAGAGTAGGGAGAAGGGTGATGAGAGTAGGGTGATGAGAGTAGGGAGAAGGGAGATGAGAGTAGGGAGAAGGGTGATGAGAGTAGGGAGAAGGGAGATGAGCCTGCCGACAAATGCTAAGGAAGCGCATGGATCCCTATAGGCGTAGGGAAAAGCATCCAACGACCCAAATATTGTTGCATATTCGGGTGGCCCATGTTCAATTCACCTACCACAGCAACTTCAGCTTGGTTCGCGCGCACAGAAAAGTTCGGCGCCCGCGATGACGGCCGTGTCTGCCCACAAATGCTAAGGAAGCGCAGGCGTAGGGAAAAGCATCGAACGACCCGATTGTTGTTGCATATTCAGGTGGCCCAGGTTCAAACACACCTACCAGAGCAACTTCAGCTTCGTTCGCGCACACAGAAAAGTTCGGCGCCCGCGATGACGGCCGTGCCTGCCGACAAATCCCAATGAAGCGCATGGATCCCTATAGGCGTAGGGAATAGCATCCAACGACCCGAATATTGTTGCATATTTGGGTGGCCCATGTTCAAATACACCTACCAGAGCAACTTCAGCTTGGTTCGCGCGCACAGAAAAGTTCGGCGCCCGCGATGACGGCCGTGCCTGCCCACAAATGCTAAGAAAAGGAAGCGCATCGGTGATGAGGGTAGGGAGAAGGGTGATGAGAGAAAGGAGAAGGGAGATGAGAGTAGGGAGAAGGGTGATGAGAGTAGGGAGAAGGGTGATGAGAGTAGGGAGAAGGGTGATGAGAGTAGGGAGAAGGGTGATGAGAGTAGGGAGAAGGGAGATGAGAGTAGGGAGAAGGGTGATGAGATTAGGGAGAAGGGTGATGAGAGTAGAGAGAAGGGTGATGAAAGTAGGGAGAAGGGTGATGAGAGTAGGGAGAAGGGTGATGAGAGTAGGGAGAAGGGTGATGAGAGTAGGGTGATGTGAGTAGGGAGAAGGGTGATGAGAGTAGGGAGAAGGGTGATGAGAGTAGGGAGAAGGGAGATGAGAGTAGGGAGAAGGGTGATGAGAGTAGGGAGAAGGGTGATGAGAGTAGGGAGAAGGGTGATGAGAGTAGGGAGAAGGGTGATGAGAGTAGGGAGAACGGTGATGAGAGTAGGGAGAAGGGAGATGAGAGTAGGGAGAAGGGTGATGAGAGTAGGGAGAAGGGAGATGAGCCTGCCGACAAATGCTAAGGAAGCGCATGGATCCCTATAGGCGTAGGGAAAAACATCCAACGACCCGAATATTGTTGCATATTCGGGGGGCCATGTTCAAATACACCTATCAGAGCAACTTCAGATTGGTTCGCGCGCACAGAAAAGTTTGGCGCCCGCGATGACGGCCGTGCCGGCCGACAAATCCCAAGGAAGCGCATGGATCCCTATAGGCGTAGGGAATAGCATCCAACGACCCGAATATTGTTGCATATTTGGGTGGCCCATGTTGAAATACACCTACCAGAGCAACTTCAGTTTGGTTCGCGCGCACAGAAAAGTTCGGCGCCCGCGATGACGGCCGTGCCTGCCCACAAATGCTAAGGAAAGGAAGCGCATGGGTGATGAGAGTAGGGAGAAGGGTGATGAGAGAAGGGAGAAGGGAGATGAGAGTAGGGAGAAGGGTGATGAGAGTAGGGAGAAGGGTGATGGGAGTAGCGAGAAGGGTGATGAGAGTAGGGAGAAGGGTGATGAGAGTAGGGAGAAGGGAGATGAGAGTAGGGAGAAGGGTGATGAGAGTAGGGAGAAGGGTGATGAGAGTAGAGAGAAGGGTGATGAAAGTAGGGAGAAGGGTGATGAGAGTAGGAGAAGGGTGATGAGAGTAGGGAGAAGGGTGATGAGAGTAGGGAGAAGGATGATGAGAGTAGAGAGAAGGGTGATGAGAGTAGGGAAAAGGGTTATGAGAGTAGGGAGAAGGGTGATGAGAGTAGGGTGATGAGAGTAGGGTGATGAGAGTAGGGAGAAGGGTGATGAGAGTAGGGAGAAGGGTGATGAAAGTAGGGAGAAGAAAGATGAGAGTAGGGAGAAGGGTGATGAGAGTAGGGATAAGGGTGATGAGAGTAGCGAGAAGGGTAATGAGAGTAGGGAGAAGGGTGATGAGAGTAGGGAGAAGGGAGATGAGTGTAGGGAGAAGGGAGATGAGAGTAGGGAGAAATGTGATGAGAGTAGGGAGAAAGGAGATGAGCCTGCCGACAAATGCTAAGGAAGCGCATGGATCCCTATATGCGTAGGAAAAAGCATCCAACGACCCAAATATTGTTGCATATTCGGGTGGCCCATGTTCAAATACACCTACCAGAGCAACTTCAGCTTAATTCGCGCGCACAGAAAAGTTCGGCGCCCGCGATGACGGCCGTGTCTGCCCACAAATGCTAAGGAAGCGCATGGATCCCTATAGGCGTAGGAAAAAGCATCGAACGACCCGATTGTTGTTGCATATTCAGGTGGCCCATGTTCAAATACACCTACCAGAGCAACTTCAGCTTTATTCGCGCGCACAGAAAAGTTCGGCGCCCGCGATGACGACCGTGCCTGCCGACAAATGCTAAGGAAGCGAACGGATCCCTACAGGCGTAGGGAAAAGCATCCAACGACCCGGATGTTATTGCATATTTGGGTGGCCCATGTTCAAATACACCTATCAGAGCAACTTCAGATTGGTTCACGCGCACAGAAAAGTTCGGCGCCCGCGATGACGGCCGTGCCGGCCGACAAATCCTAAGGAAGCGCATGGATTCCTATAGGCATAGCGAATAGCATCCAACGACCCGAATATTGTTGCATATTTGGGTGGCCCATGTTCAAATACACCTACTAGAGCAACTTCAGCTTGGTTCGCGCGCACAAAAAAGTTCGGCGCCCGCGATGACGGCCTTGTCTGCCCACAAATGCTAAAGAAGCGCATGGATCCCTATAGGCGTAGGAAAAAGCATCGAACGACCCGATTGTTGTTGCATATTCAGGTGGCCCATGTTCAAATACACCTACCAGAGCAACTTCAGCTTGGTTCGCGCGTACAGAAAAGTTCGGCGCCCGCGATGACGGCCGTGCCTGCCCACAAATGCTAAGGAAAGGAAGCGCATGGGTGATGAGAGTAGGGTGAAGGGTGATGAGAGAAGGGAGAAGGGAGATGAGAGTAGGGAGAAGGGTGATGAGAGTAGGGAGAAGGGTGATGAGAGTAGGGAGAAGGGTGATGAGAGTAGGGAGAAGGGTGATGAGAGTAGGGAGAAGGGAGATGAGAGTAGGGAGAAGGGTGATGAGAGTAGGAAGAAGGGTGATGAGAGTAGAGAGAAGGGTGATGAGAGTAGGGAGAAGGGTGATGAGAGTAGGGAGAAGGGTGATGAGAGTAGGATGATGAGAGTAGGGAGAAGGGTGATGAGAGTAGGGAGAAGGGTGATGAGAATAGGGAGAAGGGAGATGAGAGTAGGGAGAAGGGTGATGAGAGTAGGGAGAAGGGTGATGAAAGTAGCGAGAAGGGTAATGAGAGTAGGGAGAAGGGTGATGAGAGTAGGGAGAAGGGAGATGAGAGTAGGGAGAAGGGAGATGAGATTAGGGAGAAGGGTGATGAGAGTAGGGAGAAGGGAGAAGGGTGATGAGAGTAGGGAGAAGGGAGATGAGCCTGCTGACAAATGCTAAGGAAGCGCATGGATCCCTATATGCGTAGGGGAAAGCATCCAACGACCCAAATATTGTTGCATATTCGGGTGGCCCATGTTCAAATACGCCTATTAGAGCAACTTCAGATTAGTTCACACGCACAGAAAAGTTCGGCGCCCGCGATGACGGCCGTGTCTGCCCACAAATGCTAAGGAAGCGCATGGATCCCTATAGGCGTAGGGAAAAGCATCGAACGACCCGATTGTTGTTGCATATTCAGGTGGCCCATGTTGAAATACACATACCAGAGCAACTTCAGCTTTGTTTGCGCGCACAGAAAAGTTCGGCGCCTGCGATGACGGCCGTGCTTGCCGACAATTGCTAAGGAAGCGCATGGATCCCAAAACGCGTAGGAATATTGTTGCATATTCGGGTGGCCCATGTTCAAATACACCTATCAGAGCAACTTCAGATTGATTCGCGCGCACAGAAAAGTTCGGCGCCCGCAATGACGGCCGTGCCGGCTGACAAATCCCAAGGAAGCGCATGGATCCCTATAGGCGTAGGGAATAGCATCCAACGACCCGAATATTGTTGCATATTTGGGTGGCCCATGTTCAAATATACCTACCAGAGCAACTTCAGCTTGGTTCGCGCGCACAGGAAAGTTCGGCGCCTGCGATGACGGCCGTGCCTGCCCACAAATGCTAAGGAAAGGAAGCGCATCGGTGATGAGAGTAGGGAGAAGGGTGATGAGAGAAGGGAGAAGTGAGATGAGAGTAGGGAGAAGGGTGATGAGAGTAGGGAGAAGGGTGATGAGAGTAGGGAGAAGGGTGATGAGAGTAGGGAGAAGGGTGATATGTGTAGGGAGAAGGGAGATGAGAGTAGGGAGAAGGGTGATGAGAGTAGGGAGAAGGGTGATGAGAGTAGAGAGAAGGGTGATGAGAGTAGGGAGAAGGGTGATGAGAGTAGGAAGAAGGGTGATGAGAGTAGGGAGAAGGGTGATGAGAGTAGGGAGAAGGGAGATGAGAGTAGGGAGAAGGGTGATGAGAGTAGGGAGAAGGGTGATCAGAGTAGCGAGAAGGGTTATGAGAGTAGGGAGAAGGGTGATGAGAGTAGGGAGAAGGGAGATGAGAGTAGGGAGAAGGGAGATGAGATTAGGGAGAAGGGTGATGAGAGTAGGGAGAAGGGAGAAGGGTGGTGAGAGTAGGGATAAGGGTGATGAGAGTAGGGAGAAGGGAGATGAGCCTGCCGACAAATGCTAAGGAAGCGCATGGAGTCCTATATGCATATTCAGGTGACCCATGTTCAAATACACCTACCAGAGCAACTTCAGCTTTGTTCGCGCGCACAGAAAAGTTTGGCGCCCGTGATGGCGGCCGTGCCTGCCGACAAATGCTAAGGAAGCGCATGGATCCCTATAGGCGTAGGGAAAAGCATCCAACGACCCGAGTATTGTTGCATATTTGGGTGGCCCATGTTCAAATACACCTACCAGATCAACTTCAGATTGGTTCGCGCGCACAGAAAAGTTCGGCGCCCGCGATGACGGCCGTGCCAGCCGACAAATGCTAAGGAACCGCATGGATCCCTATAGGCGTAGGGAAAAGCATCCAAAGACCCAAATATTGTTGCATATTCGGGTGGCTCATGTTCAAATACACCTTCCAGAGCAACTTCAGCAGAAAAGTTCGGCGCCCGCGATGACGGCCGTGCTTGCCGACAAATGCTAAGGAAAGGAAGCGCATGGGTGATGAGAGTAGGGAGAAGGGTGATGAGAGAAGGAAGAAGCAAGATGAGAGTAGGGAGAAGGGTGATGAGAGTAGGGAGAAGGGTGATGAGAGTAGGGAGAAGGGTGATGAGAGTAGGGAGAAGGGTGATGAGAGTAGGGAGAAGGGAGATGAGAGTAGGGAGAAGGGTGATGAGAGTAGGGAAAAGGTTGGTGAGAGTAGCGAGAAGGGTGATGAGAGTAGGGAGAAGGGTGATGAGAGTAGGGAGAAGGGTGATGAGAGTAGAGAGAAGGGTGATGAGAGTAGGAACACGGGTGATGAGAGTAGGGAGAAGGGTGGTGAGAGTAGGGAGAAGGGAGATAAGAGTAGGGAGAAGGGTGATGAGAGTAGGGAGAAGGGAGATGAGCCTGTCGACAAATGCTAAGGAAGCGCATGGATCCCTATAGGCATAGGGAAAAGCATCCAACGACCGAAATATTGTTGCGTATTTGGGTGGCCAATGTTAGAATACACCTACCAGAACAACTTCAGCTTGGTTCGCGCGCACAGAAAAGTTCGGCGCCCGCGATGACGGCCGTGTCTGCCCACAAATGCTAAGGAAGTGCATGGATCCATATAGGCGTAGGGAAAAGCATTGAACGACCCGATTGTTGTTGCATATTCAGGTGGCCCATGTTCAAATACACCTACCAGAGCAACTTCAGCTTGGTTCGCGCGCACAGAAAATTTCGGCGTCCGCGATGACGGCCGTGCCTGCCGACAAATGCTAAGGAAGCGCATGGATCCCTATAGGCGTAGGGAAAAGCATGGAAAAACCTGAATATTGTTGCATATTCGAGTGGCCCATGTTCAAATACACCTATCAGAGCAACTTCAGATTGGTTCGCGCGCACAGAAAAGTTCGGTGCCCGCGATGACAACCATACCAGCCGACAAATGCTAAGGAAGCGCATGGATCCCTATAGACGTAGGGAAAAGCATCAAACGACCTGAATAGTGTTGCATATTCGGGTGGCTCATGTTTAAATACACCTTCCAGGGCAACTCCAGCTTGGTTCGCGCGCACAGAAAAGTTCGGCGCCCGCGATGACGGCCGCGTCTGCCCACAAATGCTAAGGAAGCGCATGGATCCCTATAGGCGTAGGGAAAAGCATCGAACGACCCGATTGTTGTTGCATATTCAGGTGACCCATGTTCAAATACACCTACCAGAGCAACTTCAGCTTTGTTCGCGCGCACGAAAAAGTTCGGCGCCCCCGATGACGGCCGTGCCGGCCGACAAATGCTAAGGAAGCGCATGGATCCCTATAGGCGTAGGGAAAAGCATCAAACGACCCAAATACTGTTGCATATTCGGGTGGCTCATGTTCAAATACACCTTCGAGAGCAACTTCCGCTTGGTTCGCGCGCACAGAAAAGTTCGGCGCCCGCGATGACGGCCGTGCCTGCCCACAAATGCTAAGGAAAGGAAGCGCATGGGTGATGAGAGTAGGGAGAAGGGTGATGAGACAAGGGAGAAGGGAGATGAGAGTAGGGAGAAGGGTGATGAGAGTAGGGAGAAGGGTGATGAGAGTAGGGAGAAGGGTGATGAGAGAAGGAAGAAGGGTGATGAGTGTTGGAAGTGGACACTGGAATGGCCCGAAGTGGTCTCCCCAAGGGCTACAGGTGTTGTCCTGGGGGGGTATGGGTGCGCTGACCCACCAAGGAAACATGCCCTTTTAGCTTAGTTGGTTAGCGAACTGGACAATGAGAGTAGGGAGAAGGGAGATGAGAGTAGGGAGAAGGGTGATGAGAGTAGGGAGGAGGGTGATGAGAGTAGGGAGAAGGGTGATGAGAGTAGGGAGAAGGGTGATGAGAGTAGGGAGAAGGGTGATGAGAGTAGGGAGAAGGGTGATGAGAGTAGGGAGAAGAGTGATGAGAGTAGGGAGAAGGGAGATGAGAGTAGGAAGAAGGGTGATGAGAGTAGGGAGAAGGGTGATGAGAGTAGGGAGAAGGGAGATGAGAATAGGGAGAAGGGTGATGAGAGTAGGGAGAAGGGTGATGAGAGTAGGGAGAAGGGAGATGAGCATGCCGACAAATGCTAAGGAAGCGCATGGATCCCTATAGGCGTAGGGAAAAGCATCCAACGACCCGAATGCTGTTGCATATACGGGTGGCCCATGTTCGAATACACCTCCCAGAGCAACTTCGGCTTGGTTCGCGCGCACAGAAACGTTCGGCGCCCGCGATGACGGCCGCGCCTGCCGACAAACGCTGAGGAGGTGCATGGATCCCTATAGGCGTGAGGAAAAGCATCGAACGGCCCGGATGGTGTTGCATATTCGGGTGGCCCATGTTGGAATTCACCTGCTAGAGCAACTTCGGCTTGGTTCGCGCGCACAGAAAAGTTCGGCGCCCGCGATGACGGCCGCGCCTGCCGACAAACGCTGAGGAAGCGCATGGATCTCTATAGGCGTGAGGGAAAGCATCGAACGGCCCGGATTGTGTTGCATATTCGGGTGGCCCATGTTGGAATTCACCTGCCAGAGCAACTTCGGCTTGGTTCGCGCGCACAGAAAAGTTCGGCGCCCGCGATGACGGCCGCGCCTGCCGACAAACGCTGAGGAAGCGCATGGATCCCTATAGGCGTAGGGGAAAGCATCGAACGGCCCGGATGTTGTTGCGTATTCGGGTGGCCCATGTTCCAATACACCTACCAGAGCAACCTCGGCTTGGTTCGCGCGCACAGAAAAGTTCGGCGCCCGCGATGACGGCCGCGCCTGCCGACAAACGCTGAGGAAGCGCATGGATCCCTATAGGCGTAGGGGAAAGCATCGAACGGCCCGGATGTTGTTGCGTATTCGGGTGGCCCATGTTACAATACACCTACCAGAGCAACCTCGGCTTGGTTCGCACTCACAGAAACGTTCGGCGCCCGCGATGACGGCCGTGCCTGCCCACAAATGCTGAGGAAGCACATGGATCCCTACAGGCGCAGGGAAAAGCATCGAACGACCCGAATGTTGTTGCGTATTCGGGTGGCCCATGTTCCAATACACCTACCCGAGCAACCTCGGCTTGGTTCGCGCGCACAGAAAATTTCGGCGCCCGCGATGACGGCCTTGCCTGCCCACAAATGCTAAGGAAGCGCATGGATCCCTACAGGCACAGGGAAAAGCATCAAACGACCCGAATGTTGTTGCGTATTCGGGTGGCCCATGTTGAAATACACCTACCAGAGCAACCTCGGCTTGGTTCGCGCGCATAGAAAAGTTCGGCGCCCGCGATGACGGCCGTGCCTGCCCACAAATGCTAAGGAAGCGCATGGATCCCTACAAGCGTAGGGAAAAGCATCGAACGGCCCGAATGTTGTTGCGTATTCGGGTGGCCCATGTTGGAATTCACCTACCAGAGCAACCTCGGCTTGGTTCGCGCGCACAGAAAAGTTCGGCGCCCGCGATGACGGCCGTGCCTTCCGACAAATGCTAAGGAAGCGCATGGATCCCTACAGGCGCAGGGAAAAGCATCGAACGGCCCGAACGTTGTTGCGTATTTGGGTGGCCCATGTTGGAATTCACCTACCAGAGCAGCTTCAGCTTGGTTCGCGCGCACAGAAAAGTTCGGCGCCCGCGATGACGGCCGTGCCTTCCGACAAATGCTAAGGAAGCGCATGGATCCCTACATGCGCAGGGAAAAGCATCGAACGACCCGAATTTTGTTGCGTATTCGGGTGGCCCACGTTGAAATACACCTACCAGAGCACCTTCAGCTTGGAGCGCGCGCACAGAAAAGTTCGGCGCCCGCGATGACGGCCGTGCCTTCCTACAAATGCTCAGGAAGCGCATGGATCCCTACAGGTGTAGGGAAAAGCATCGAACGGCCCGGATGTTGTTGCGTATTCGGGTGGCCCATGTTGAAATACACCTACCAGAGCAGCTTCAGCTTGGTTCGCTCGCACAGAAAAGTTCGGCGCCCGCGATGACGGCCGTGCCTTCCGACGAATGCTAAGGAAGCGCATGTATCCCTACAGGCGCAGGGAAAAGCATCGAACGGCCGGAACGTTGTTGCGTATTCGGGTGGCCCATGTTGAATTACACCTACCAGAGCAGCTTCAGCTTGGTTCACGCGCACAGAAAATTTCGGCGCCCGTGATGACGGTCGCGCCTGCCGACAAACGCTGAGGAAGCGCATGGATCCCTATAGGCGTAGGGAGAAGCATCAAACGGCCCGGATGTTGTTGCGTATTCGGGTGGCCCATGTTGGAATACACCTACCAGAGCAACCTTGGCTTGGTTCGCGCGCACAGGAAAGTGTCAGAAACAAGAAGTGTGTGAACTAGGAAGGAATGGGAGTACAAGTACCAAACCCTAGAGTAGTGTACCCCCTAAAGGCTAACCCACTGTAGCCTACACAACTATAACATATATAATGTTTGACACACCCCCATAGGCTAAGTGGGGGAGAGCAAGGGGTCACAAGACCAGTCAAAGCAAAGCAACAAAACAAGCTCAGGGTGGATCTCAAGGATACCACACAAATTCCGAGCACAAGCAAGTGGTCACAAGACCAGTTCACATGCAGTTTGATAATATAACAAGAGGTACAGTGATCACAACCTAGCAAGTGTAAGCATGCAGGTATATATATAGAGATCAGAGTACAAGCAGAGTCAAGAAGTGAGCAAGTGAGGGACAGTAGGCACAAGGCCTAGAACAGTACAGAAACGCTGATGATCACAAGGCTGAAGCGCCTTGGTGAACACATCAGCAGTGTTGGCCCGAGTGGCCACGTACGCAAGACGAAGCTGACCACGCTGCTGCAGCTCTCGAGCAAGGAAGTAGCGCAGAGCGATGTGCTTCGTTCTGTGCTCCAATCTGTGCTCCTGACACAAGGCAATGGCGGCCTTGTTGTCGACGTACAGCACTGGAGGAGAACGAGGCCGCTCTCCCAGGTCGGTCGGAAGGTAGGTGAGCCAGCGTAACTCCTGTGCAGCCATGGCTGTGGCGTAGATCTCAGCCTCACAACTGGAGCTGAGAACTGAAGACGAGCGTGTAGAACGCCAAGAAACTGAACCAGAGCCAAGGCTTTGTAACCCTGAGACGACCGCTGCGTAGCCTGGTCGTCAGCCCAAGAAGCGTCTGAGTGCCCAGTGAGGACAACGTCACTCCGTCCTCCAAGCACACGCCCCATGCCCGACGTACTGCACAAGTAGCGCAACACCCTCTTAGCGGCATCCATGTGCTCCTTCCGGTGCCGGCCAGGAGCGACATAGCGTGCTAGGATGCTAAGAGGGTATGCAAGGTCAGGTCGAGTGCAGGTCATCAGGTACATGAGGCAGCCCACAAGCTCTAAATACGGGCCAGTCGGCTCTACGGACTCATCCGAAGGCAGAGCTGAGAGCGAGTGACCGGTAGGCAGAGGAGTGGGCTGAGGCGAGGAGTACGTGAAGCGGAAGCGCTGAAGGACCTGCTGCACCATGTGTGACTGAGTCAAGGTGATGGTGCGCTGTGCTCTGTCCCGGGTGATCCGCAAGCCAAGATAGCTTGTCAGCTCACCCAGGTCTGTGCATGTGTGTCTCTTCTGCAGCTCCGACTTCACGTGGGCGAGTGCCTCAGTGTCAGCAGTAGCAAAGACCAAGTCGTCTACGTACACGAGAACGTAGAACGGCGGCAGAGTGGTGTCGGTGCGTAGAAACAGCGACAGGTCAGCAGTAGAAGGAGCAAACCCAAGAGCAGCAAGAGTAGTCCTCAGTGTGTCGTGCCACTCACGGGGTGCCTGGCGGAGACCGTAGTCCGGCCGCCGGAGGCTCCACTGGGTACCACCAGGAAACGACCCAGTGAAGCCAGGTGGGCGGCGCAGCCAGATCTCCTCGTGCAGGCAGCCCTGTAGGAAAGCAGTGCTGAAGTCAAGAGAGTAGAGCTCGTAGTCACGCTGAGCGGCGACGTGCAGCAGAACCCGAAGAGTGGTCATCTTCGGGGTAGGGGAGAAGGTCTGGAAGAAGTCAACTCCCTCACGCTGACTGAAGCCTCGTGCAACGTAACGCGCCTTGAAGACAGGCGGAGAACCCGGCGGCCGCTTCACCCTGAAAATCCACATGCCACTGACGATGTTCGCCCCAGGTGGGGGAACCTCGTCGACGTAGGTGCCTGTGGACTTCCAGGAAGCCATCTCTGCATCCATGGCTGTCTGCCACTGAGAGGAGTAGGGACCCTCCATCGCCTCTGCGTAAGAGCGTGGGGTCGGGATGTTTGGTGCATCCGGGTCTCCCTCAGGGGCAATCAGCATGGACACGAGATGAGGTAAAGCAGCGGCAAAGCACTCAAACTTCTCCTGTCTGTCCTCAAGGACGTCCGTGCCAAGGGCACACTCACCCCCGACGGACGGAGGACAGACAGACTCAGACTCAGCAACAATGCTAGCGGCGTAGTCTAGACGACAGGCGGCAGCAAAGTCAACAAGCTCAGCGACTAGAGCAGACGCAGAAGAGGACTCAAAGGTAGGGTCAGTGACAACAGTGGCGAGGAAACGCGTGACAGTAGGACTGGCAGCACGAAGAGAGTCAGACTCCGGGTCCGGACCGTCAGGAAGAGAGGACGCAGGAGGAGACGGCAGAGGGACACGCTGTGGAGCAGTGGACGGACGCAGGGTCATATAGTGAGTGCCAAGGACAGGAGGAGGACGCTGACGCGGAGCACGACGACCAGCGCGGACAGCGCAGACAAGCGACTCTGGACGAGACTCAGGCGACTCAGGACGAGACTCAGGCGACACAGGACGAGACTCAGGCTCACGACGCATCGTAAGACCTCCAGTCGGCCCAGCGTAGGGAGAAGGACCAGGCAGCGGAGAGGCAAGCGGTAACTGTGACTGCGATTGGACAGGTGGTGGACTCAGTAGGGGAGGAGAAGGACCACTGGAGGGCGGGAGGCCAAGAACCTGCTGAAGGAGCGGAACGTAGTACGGCCGCGGCCGCTCAGCACCTCCTGAACCAGCAGAGACAGCACCAGCACCCTCAGCCCCAGGGTCTCCAGCTACAACTCCCGCAGCACCACCAGTAACCCCAGCAGCTCCAGTACCTCCAGCTCCAACCCCCGCAGCAGCTCCA